TAGGAATGGAAAGGGAGGTAGTCTGTCATCTGATTAGTATGAGGAGAGGAATAGGTAGAATATGGGATAATTAGATGATGCTTTATGAAGACGAGTCTAACGACTTCTTCCCTTCTTCAATTCGATATAAGACTATATCAGATTCTATCTACTCATTTCTATCTACTCATATCTCAATCCTCGACCGCAATGAAAGTTGGAAATAGCAGCTTTAAATCCTCACCCCGTCCACTTCTTATTCGTTCACCAAAAAGAAAAAGAATGACTTCAAGCCACCCTCTACTGTCTCACAACCCACATCTTAAGATCTAACCATCCACGCTTTTTCCCACTCTCCTCTCCGCCCTAACCACCCATCTCTAGGGTTAAGCGCCTTTTTAAAAGCAGAGCTAGATTATGTAAAAGCGTAATCATAGCCAGCTACGTTATTATTTGCTTTATTTTATAAAATTTGAAACTATTCAGATATTTATTATCAACTCAATCTCTCTATGTATATTGTAGATTTGAATATCCTGATTGGTTTAAACATATATAGAAGCAATTGAAAGGGGATATTTTATTTAATATAGAGGATGATATAGTTATAGTAAAGCAAGATGTTGAAGAAAATGAGGATTAAATAAAATCTTCCCCGATTATATTCAATCAATTAAACTTAATTTGACCCCAAAACCATACTACAAAATCAATATATAATAAAAGGAGCTAGATTATTACAAAAAGCGAAATAAGCTAGATTATTACGCTTTATTGTAATTACATCTGCCCAACCCTACCCATCGATCTCAAGCACAAAACCCCCTTTCCCTTCTCCCTTCTCACAGACGAGACACACCCGACCAGTGAGACCCCTCTTCTCGAACAAATCTTATAACTTACAAGAAATTAGATATGATGATATGATTACTATGCAACCAAAAATTAAATACCGCGGGTCATATTTTGGGAGTAATAGTCACTAGTACTCATCAATTCTAATTTCTTGGGACGGAAGTAGAGTGTAGAGTTTATGTTGGGATGTACGGATATTGAGAGTACGGATATTGAGAGTACGGATATTGAGAGTACGGATATTGAGAGTACGGATATTGAGAGTACGGATATTGAGAGTACGGATATTGAGATGTATAAGATGTATACGGATTCGGATCTGGCAGACTGGGACTCGGAGGGAGTTTTAAGTTTTGGGGAGTTGGGAATTGGGGGTGTGGAGGAAGTGAGAACTGGAGGAGGGGAGGGAAGAGATTGAGGAAGGGGCCTTGATTGGGGTATAGATGAGAGGGTTGGTTGGAGTCTTGGTTTGCTGTTAGGGGGGCCGGTTAGTGCGATTTACAAGTTACGGAAGTTGCACTTGGTTGAGGATGTAAGTTCTATTCATTCGTGATGCTATCAATTAGGCGCTCAGATCAAGACTAGTCCATAGACTTAACTACAGTATCCTGATATGTGGTTAAGTCGATGCAATAAATATTTTCACGACATCGCTAAACGCTGACCCCCTTTTCACAACTACCGGGATGTTTTTCCTCGATATCATACAGCAATTCATCGAGATGGATTTCGGGACAAACTTTCATCCCCCTCCATAGGTTGATAAGGGAGTCTAGAGAAAAAAACGGGTGGTCGGTCTTGAGTAGTGATATACTTCTCAGGTAGATAATATGGGTGGGAGTTGCAGTATTAGCTTAAGTTTACCGGGAAAGAAGAATGTAGAAGCGATCAAATAATATCTTTAGGATACAGGCGTAAGAGAAACTAAAAACCAAGTATTTCTGTATGGGTACAGTGCTATGCAATGTTGACTTGATGATTAGTGATGATTTATGCTATGATTTTGTTTGAATTGACAACGAGATGAAGTGTGGTTTAAAATAGGATCTTATCTTTTGTTCTACTTTATTGGTTGACTGTTGACTTGAATGATGTATATTTAATATTAGAATCATCTCGAGTACATAAATAGCTTTTATGGAGGATAAAATATTAAAAAACGAACCTTCCACTGTCGGGACTTTTCTCTCTCTATAGCTTATGGCACGTACAGAGTACAGGGAGTTGAAGTAACAAACATAGTGACGCGATAAGCCCGATAACAACCTATCGCGCTAAACATCAAGAAGTTATTGAGAGCTATCCGCTCAAATCTCATATTTCCAAAAATCATCCACAAGATAATATTAAAAGTTTATAATGGGTAAAGGTTCGTCGCAATATCACCCTAACTCAAAAACGAGAAGCATACTAACATTTTTCTTCCACAGGCACAGATAAACTATACGTGAGTTTCTAGACTACCAATGTCAACTTTACCTTGCTAATACATATGATATCAAGATCACCCATTCCGAATGGTCTTCCACCGATGCATTCTCCGCAAGCAGTGGATCTAATGTTTCCTTAAAAGCCCCAAATGGCTCATTTAAACGTCTTCCCTTCAACTTTTGCGCCGCGAGTCTACAACCCTTCAAACATCCAGTCTGCACAGCCGAAGGTACAATATTCGACATAGAAGTGATTTCGCAATGGCTCGAGAAGCACGGCACAAATCCTATCAATGGAGAACCTTTGAGTGCGAAACATTTAATAACATTGAACTTTGCGCGAAATGGTGATACTGATGCGCAGGAGAGAGGTTCTGGTGGTGCTGGAGGTGATGGTAAAGGGGAGATGGTAGATCCTGTTACTTTCAAGGTTTTTACAGATAATACGCATATTGTTGCTATACGGCATGGCAGTGAGGCAAATGTTTTTGCTTGGGAAACTGTGGAAAGATTGAATATTAAAGCGAAAATGTGGTTAGATCTAGTCGATGATCGGGAATTTGGGAGGTCAGATATTATTACTTTACAAGATCCGCAGAACATCGAAAGCCGAGATTTAAGCAAGTTTAAGTTCCTGAAAGAGGGAGAATCTGTGTTGAGCAAAGAACAGGAGGAAGAAAGGTCTAAGGGTAGTGTTAATATTAACGCGCTGGGCAGAGTTGGAGATAAAGTTTTGAGGGCAAAAGAAGCTGTGGAGAAAGCCAGAAGGGAAAGAGAAGCTGGTGGAGATGTTAATCGCGCCAAATCGATGGTTAAACAAGGATCTGCGGCTTCTATGGCGAAACCGTCATTACTCCAAGAAAAGAAGACAGCATACAATGCAGCACAATATACAACCGGAAGAGCAGCCGCGAGTTTTACAAGTACAGGATTAACTCCAGAAACTAGTGGGGAGAGAGCAATTCTTACGGATGAAGAATATATGTTAAAACCAAAACGAGTCAAGATAAAGGGATATGCTAGAATCGAGACGAATCTAGGTTCATTGACCATCGAATTACAAACCGAGACGGCACCTCGAGCAGTATGGAATTTTGTTCAATTAGCCAAAAAAGGTTATTATAATGGTGTCTCCTTCCATAGGAACATACGAAACTTTATGATTCAAGGAGGTGATCCAACGGGGTCTGGCAAAGGAGGTTCAAGTATCTGGGGAAAGAATTTCCAAGATGAATTCGACGGACCCTTAACCCACGATTCAAGAGGTGTGATGAGTATGGCCAATAAAGGCAAAAACACCAATTCAAGTCAATTCTTCATCACCTATAAAGAAGCCAAACATCTCGACCGCAAACATACCATCTTTGGCCGAGTAGTCGGTGGCATGGACGTCCTCAGCAAACTGGAAAAAGTAGAAGTAGACGAAAAAAGTCGACCGTTAAACGACATTATCATGGAAAATGTCGTCGTCTTTGTCGATCCATTTGAAGAATTCCAAAAGCAGAAACAGGAGAATGATATTGCGGAGAAGGAAAAGGCGGAGATTATGAGGCAGGGTGGAACTGAAGATGATAAAACTACGTGGACGGGTAAACGTATTAGGGGGGATGGATCCGTGGTGCAGAATGAATCCTCTGGGGGTGTGGGGAAATATCTTAAAGCTGGTGTGGGTGCTGGTGCGGGTGCGAATGCGAGGAATAGTGGTAGTGTTGGTGTTGGGGAGGGGGCGGTCGAGGAGGAAGAGATGCTACCTGTGAAGAAGAAAGTTAAGTCTAGTGGATTTGGGAATTTCGATGGATGGTAGTTAGCGCAGATGGTTTATACTGATTTATTGTGTGGTTCCTGAGTTGTAAGATTACTTCTCACGTAGGCGGATGGATTTATGTATAAGGGGAGAAATAGATGAATGAATGAAGGAATGGTCTGGATTGCTAGGTATTCTTACTCCGGAGAGATTGGAGTGAGTGAAGATCTTGAAGATATATATGTAAATGTAAATAGTAGGATAGTTGACGGTTTATTGTACGCATGCGTCTATGGAGTTTGATGATGAAATTTATTGTTGGTTACCTAGGTACCTAGTTAGTGAGTGGTAAGATTACAACGATATATGTACCATACTAGAATGGAAAGTGTAGCTGATTGGAATTGCACAGAATGTATATACATGGAAGATTCAATATTGTGGAGAATCAATGGATGTGCAAGTATTTATTGATTATGAGGGTCTATTTTCATAAATGCATCTACTGTATGCTTCTGTCGTGCATGCCATGGTATGGACCTATTTCCCACCCAATTTAACATAACCCAGCTCCAACCCAACCCAATCCCATCCGGTCCATCCATCCCATATGTGCCTAGGGATCTACAAATCAGGAATCACCCTTTGATACCCGAGATTTGAACGCCCCGGTGTTCATGATTTGAAACCCTTTAAAAACGCCATCCATAATTTTGGTACAATTTCAGTCTGTCGTCGCCATACTTATCTATCTCTTCATGTGAGAATAATCATGCAACAAATGTTGCATGTGAGTATTTGTAGTACGGCCACCCTTCCTTGGAGCCTTTCTCTTCTTTTCTTTTGGCTTTGGAGTTGCTTTGATGCGTTTACTTGGGTCTTCACTAGCAGGCTTTTGACCAGCTTCGAGAAGTTTGCGAACGAGATCATCGACGCTAGGGAGTTCGGTTCTGTGCCACATGACTTGAAATTCGGATTCGACAGGGTGAATCAAGCTAGGATCATTGATCCAAACCATTCGTGCATGGTTATCCTTCTTTGTCCTCGTAACCAAAATTTTATGTTCGGCCTCCAACTCATTTATCGCTTCTTCACAGTCCGGCCAACCATCTTTCAAATCCTTGACACTTACTCCTTGTGCGTCAGGTTTGTTTTGAAGATATGATAATAAAGCGCCCTTATTACGAACGCCGATGATGGGACGATGTTTGAATGTGCCAGAATCCCAAGTTTGTGTCTTTAACTTAGGATCTGCAATCCATTGAACTCGATCGTGTCTTCGAAGGATTTGCGCAATAAGTTGTTTCTTACTTTGCTCGACGTGTGCCTGGCTCAAGTATCCTAGGATCTCTTGGAATGTTTTTGGCTCATCTTTCTTCTTCAAGAACTCGATGACGTAGGTGACTTGTGTAAATGCTTCTGTTCCATAACCAGTAGCAGCAGGTTGAGAATAGACGACATTTGATGCTTCTCTCTTGCGCTTAGCATCTTTGTTCTCACTCTTCGATGTGTTTGAGGCGTTCGATGGAGCAGGCGATGGGACGGAAACTGGTGCGGTTGGACGCTTGCTGGTAATTTTAGTTGAAGTATTTTGAATACCTTTTTGAAAGGCGGCCTGTTGCTTCTCGAGGAACGAAGACATGATTATGGCTGACAATGTTGGATGTCTCGAGGTTGAAGAGTCTTTGATGGGCTCGATTCCAAGAGCCTTTTTGAGTCCAGGCCTAGGAGGCGTTGTAAGAACGTACTACGTAGGATAATTCGCAGATCCAGATGACGTCGATGCCAAAGATTTAAGGTCTAGTATCGGCTCCCAGATGCATAGATAAGAGAGACCTGTATCATACGGTCTGTAGTCAAAGTCGACAGTTGAAGGTGTAAGGCTCAACTTTTGTCGTGGATGTTGAGTTGAACAAAGAAGTCCATGCAGGTGATGAGGCTGAGAAATTACAAGGAAGCAACTTTTAGCGTGAATAGACCACACACAGGGTCCGAACGCAAGCTAAACAGTTATCAGCCATTCACCTTTGCTCAAATTTTAAAGTTTGGGGATATTAGTCAGCGCCTTCTCGTCCTGAAAGCAACAGGCTTTCAAAGTCAAAGACTCTATTTCAAGAAATCGACAACACCACGATTTGACCATCGTGGTATTTCGATACGAACTCAAAGTCTATTCATTCATTCGAGATTTATTATGGTCATACAATAAACGACAAGAATATCATAGATATTATCTAATATTTACAGCTAGGATTTCTTTGAGCTTTATCACTTTTCCACCTTTACTTCCTCAAAGCAACGCGATCAATACAAATTCTGAACCACACTCTTCAAATGTTCCTCTACAGAACGCATCAAAAAATCGTCTGAAGGAACGTTTTCATGATGACAGCCGCGGTACTCGATGTCGACTACTTGTCGGCATATTTGAGCGTGCCGCAACAAACTCTAAGCACAGTTATTGATAACCCTACTGCCGAATTAGTTCGAAGTGTCCTTGAAGCTGTTACTGCAAAAGCACGCGAGCATGATGAATTGGTGGCGGATAAATTGCGAGTTGATATCGAGCTTGAGAATGCTGTGAGAAGTTCAGAGACGCGCATTGAAGGACTTCGATCGAGTGTGGAAAAGGCGCAGAAAACCGTGGAAGAGCTGAGGACGAAGCTCAATGAGGAGGGTAAGCTATCCAATATTATGGTAATATATTGCGGCGCTAATTTTACTTTCAGAAAATTCAAGATCATCTCTTGAAAGCGAACTTCAAAACCTGAAGACCAGTTCCTCGACATCGACATCTGAGCTAGAAACTTTAAGGTCTCGAATCTCATCACTCGAATCCTCCAATCGCGATGCACTGGCTGTTATCGAGTCAAAGACGACTGCTAACAGTGCTCTCGCACAAGATCTACAGAAGCAACACCAGAAGGGATTGGAACTTAGTCAACAAATCACAGCTTTACAACAATCCGCTCAAAATGCAAATTCTGCGGTATCCAGTGCTAAATTCCGAGAGCAATCTCTGAAGCAAGAAGTCGAGCTAGCCAAGCGCAATAATGAATGGTTTGAGAATGAATTGAAGACTAAAAGCGCCGAGGCCTTGAAGTATCGCAAAGAGAAGGGTGCACGAATTGCAGAGTTACAGCGTCAAAATGAAGAGTCCACTTCCAATGTCGAGTCTTTACGACGTACCGAGCAAGCTTTACGAACTAGGTTGGATGAGGTTCAGAAGAAGGCCGAGGATTCACTTCACAAGATACAACAACTTCAAGAAGCAGCTGCAAAGACTGAAGAAGGTTTCCGCCAGGAGTTAGAAAGCGCGCGTCGTCTCGCTGAATTGCAAGCACAACAAACCGAGACACATCGACAGAGATTGAAGGAGGTCGAAGCAGGAATAGAAAAGATGAAGGATGATGCCGCAGAGGAGATTGGTAGGTGTCAGCAAGAAGTTGAGGCGGAGAGACAGGAACGAGAACAGGCGGAGCATCGTATTTCAGAGCTTGAAGCCGAGATTGATCGACTTGAGGCTCTTGTATCATCACAACCTCGCCCTGGCTCAGTACCATCAACCCCACAACGAGGACTTAATGGTTCAGTGTTTGGAAGATCTGGTTCACCTGCTCAATTTGGTACACCTGGATCTATGCGCAGCAAGTCTTCTATTACCGCTACTCAAGCTATCGATGAGCTCTATAAAGTCAAGGGTCTATTGGCTACAGAAAAGAGAAGAAGTGAACGACTTGCGGCTGAGATGGAGGAAATGATGCAAGGACTCGAAGCAAAACAACCTGAGTTAGAAGAAATGCAAGCCGAGCATGAACGTCTTCAACAGGAGGTGGTAGAGATGTCAAAGTTTGTCGATCAAACTGGCAAGGAGCGCGATCGTGCGAAGAAGGATGTTAGGAAAGCTGAAAGTGAGGCATCTACCGCAAAAGCGGAGGTGAACATCCTTCGACAACAACTCAGAGATCTTAGCGCTCAAATCAAGATGCTTCTTTGCGATTTAGATGCGAGAGAAAGAGGATTAGAGACTTTGAATGCTAGCGAGCGAGCACAAATGGAGCGTCTAGCACGAGGAGAGGTTAGCGAAGATTCATTTGAAGGAATGACTGATACGGATCGATTTATCAGTCAGAGACTCACTGTCTTCCGCAGCATTAGTGAATTGCAAGAGAAAAATCAGGAGTTGCTCAAGATCACGAGAGAACTGGGTCAGAAGATGGAAAGCGAAGAAGCTCAAGCTGCCAAGAATCAAGCAGTTCAAGATCATGAAGAGGTACAAAAACTTCAAGCCAAGGTTGAAGATTTGAAGGATGAGTTGAGATCTATGATCACTCGTTCAGAAAGCTATATCAAGGAAAGAGACATGTTCCGTCGTATGCTTCAACACCGAGGACAACTTCCAGCCAATTCCGATCTCGCATCTATGTTTGGTCAATCGGTCGATGGCAATGGTGTCATGTCGACTATTGAAAATCCAAACCAAAAGGACAATGCTAATTATGCCGCATTGTTACGCGAGTTGCAAGGCCACTTTGATCAGTATCGCGAAGAACAAACTGTTGATCGACGCACACTAAGAGAGCAAACAGAACGACTTTCATCGGAGAAGGCTGCACTTCAAGCAGAGATTTCCAAGGTTAGCAGTCAATTGACACTTGCTAATGAGCGCTACGAAATGTTACACTCCAACTACATATTGTTGCAGAGTGAAAATAGCGAGTTACAGAAACGTTCTCAAATCCTTTCCGAGGCCGCTGCTAAGCAAGACTTGAAGACACAGCAAGTAGCTGAAGACCTGATTGAAGCAAAGGGATTGGTGGAGAGTATGAGAAATGAGACTGCTAATCTCAAGGCTGAGAAGAAGCTTTGGAAGGATATCCAGGATCGCCTCAGTCAGGACAACGAAAATCTCACCAACGAACGCAGTAGACTCAACACCCTCATCGCGAATCAACAAACTCTCCAAAATGAACGCGAGTTATCCGAGTCCGAAACTAGAAGAAGACTTCAAGCCCAAGTAGAATCTTTGGAATCTGAGTTGAACACCACAAAGCGAAAGCTTAATGATGAAGTTGAAGAGAGCAAGAAAGCTCAATTGAGAAAGGAGTACGATACTCAGCAAACTCAAAAGAGGATTGATGAGCTTGCAGCGAGTCTGAGCCAAGCAAGGGAAGAGCTTGTTGCTGCGCAGACATCGCGCGATCATCTCCAAGCTCGCGTAGATGAGTTACACATTGAGCTTAAGAGTGCAGAGGAACGAGTTGAGTTGTTGCAGCCAAGACCAACCCCACGGCCAGGCACCAATACTCAAAATACCGTTGGACAAGATACAGCTGCTGAAGATGAATCTCTAAGTCGTGAACAGGAATTAGGAATCGAGCTTTCTGAATTGAAGAGGGATTTAGAACTGGCAAAATCAGAGCTCGAAAATGCAAAGCAACAAGTAGAACAATTCAAAGCTATCAGTCAATCGTCTGAGGAGGAGTTACAGAGTCTCAATGCGACACTGGATGAATGCCGTGAGGAGATGGATAGGATCATCGAGGAGAAGGATGCGAAGATTCGCGAGCTTGAGCAACGAGCCGAAGATATTTCTGCCGAGCTCACTAATTCTAATAATGAGTTGACAGCCCTTCGAAACCAACAAGGTGAAGTAGCTAGACAAGCTGAGGAGGAGAAATCCGGACTCGAGGCAGAGATTGTACGTTTGAAGGATGAGCAGGAGAAACATGCTGTGGCTGCAAAATTCCATCAAGAAGACCTTCGCGCACAAGCAGCAATCGCCACCAAAGCCCAGCAAGACTATGAGCATGAGCTTGTCAAGCATGCAGAAGCTGCTAAACATCTTCAATCTCTACGAGTTGAATATAATCAACTCAAATCCGAATCAGCAACATTGAAAGCGGAGGCCGAATCTGCCAAGGTTGCTTTGAGTCAGAGCGAAGCCTCTTGGAGTGAACGACGTGAGCAGTTCGAACGAGAGTTGAATGAGTTGAGGACTAGGCGAGATGATGTTAATGCACAGAACAAGCTTCTACACCAACAGCTAGATAATGTTTCTTCACAAATCATTGCATTACAACAGACACGCTCCGCTGGACCGGATGCATCAGAAGCTGGATCCCCAGCTGCGGATGGAACCACAGATCGCACTGTGGAAGGTTTGAGAGAGCTGAACATATATCTGAGACGCGAAAAGGAGATCGGTGAGGTTCAATATGATATCAAGATTCAAGAAGCCAAACGACTACAACAACAACTTGAATACACTCAAGCTCAACTCGATGAGGCTAGGTTAAAGCTTGATCAGGAACGACGCTCTCATGCCGATGGTGGTAAAACCTCGATTGCACACAAGGACCTCATGGATAAACTTAATGAGCTCAATCTTTTCCGTGAAAGCAGCATCACCTTACGTAATGAGGCACGTCAAGCTCAATCTCAACTTGCTGATAAGACCAAACGTGTCGAGGAACTTTTGGCTCAAATTCAACCACTGGAGACAAAGGTTCGTGAATTAGAACATAGCAAGGAAACCATGGAGGGTGAAATGCATCTATTGCAGGAAGATCGAGATCGTTGGCAGAAACGTAACCAAGATATACTTTCCAAGTACAATCGAATCGACCCTGCTGAAATGGAACAAATGAAGGAAGCCATTGAAACTTTGCGAAGTGAGAGAGATGCCTTGTTAGAAGAACAACAACCATTGCGGGAGAAGGTACAAACTTTGGAGAGCTCTATGGAGAATGACAGAGCACAATGGCAAACTACCCGACAGAAGTTAATTGAGCAGGCCAAGGAGAGAAATCGCACTTTAACCAAGGATAAGAATGACCGAGCTGCAGAGAGAGATGTGGCCATTTCCGAGAGGGATTCACTTCAAGAACAACTCACTTCACTTCAAGAGCAACTTCAAACTGCCATTGAAGAAAAGGAAGCAGCGGAAGCCAAACTTGCTGAAGTACAACAAGAATTGGAAGAAGTTAAGACTCAGCGTGATCAAGCATTGGCGAACGCTGTTCAATCTGTTGCATCTCCCAAAACTCCATCCGCACCTCCAGCAACTGCTTCGGAGAGTAATGAAGTTGTCAATGCACAGCTTGTTGAACTTCGTAAGGAGCGTGATCAGGCAATCTTGGAGAAGCAAGCTCTTGAACAACAAATTACAGAACTCAAACAACAGCTCGAAACGGCCAATTCTGAGCGAGACGGTGCTATTGCCGACGCCGCTGAAGCACGATCACAACAAAAGGCTCAGCCATCTGATACTGCGATGGACGATGGTGCTGAAGAAGGACAGATCGACGAAAGTCATAATGGTATCTCAGACGAGGAGAGAAACGCACTGGAGGCACGTATAGCTGTTGCTGAAGCAATGGCTAAGGAGCGTGATGAAAAAGCTAAGGAGATTGAAGAGTCTATGGAAGCTACACTAAAACAACGTTCCGATAAGATGAAGGCAGCTTTGAACAAGAAACTCGGCGAATCCAAGGAAGCTGTTAGGGTACAACTCGAGGCTGATTTCAAATTGAAACTTGAGCAAGAGAAACAAATCTGGCTTGCAGAGAATAAGACTGCTGATTCTTCAGCCCCACCACCGACACCATCTGCACCCAAGACAGAAGAAAATGCCATTCCAGTCACCCCCGCCACTCCAAGTAAAGTCGCTGCACCATCGGCTGATGGCTCGGATCTTTCGGATGAGCAAGTTCGACACCTTTTATCGACAAACCCCACAGTCAAGAGTATTCTTACCAACAACTTGAAAAAGCTTCTTGAAAAAGAAACGCAAAAACTCAAGTTGGAGCAAGATAAACTCGTGGCAGAAAAGCTAGCTGAAGCGCAAAAGAAATCTGAAGCTACTTTGACTGAAGCTCAAGCAAAGGCTGACCACACACAGGCTCAAGCTGTTTTGATGGCGGAGAAAAAGTCCTCATTGAAACTCAACATGTTTGACAATAGAATCAAAATGGCCACTGCAAAGATTGCAGTTGTTGAGAAAGCCGCAAAGGATACACCAGAAAAGCCTGTTGGTGAAGTGTGGGAGATTGCTAAGAATGCAAAACCTCCTCCTGCAGCACCAGTTGTACCAGTTCTTACAACGTCGACGCCTGCCCCCGCTGCTCAGGCGGCTCAATCTCCAGCGGTAAATACTACATCAGCTGCAATGCCATCCGCGAATGTTCCCGTTACACAATCTGATAGCGCTCCCGCTGAAGATATTAAGCCCGAGGATACTGAAGCTCCAAAGAGTGGTATACCTTCAGGACCACGTCCAATAACTCCATCGACAAACGGGGCCTCTTCATTACCTGTCAGTAATATTCCTTCTGTAAGTAACTCCTTTAAACTTTTTTACATCTAGCACTAACCAAATATAGGCCCCTCAAGCAGGAAACCAGTCGCGACTACCACAAATGCGTGGTGGTAATCAAAATCGTGGAGGCGGAGGTGTCGGAGGTGGTGGTGCTCGTGGAGGAATTTATCAACCACGTGGAGGAGCAGCAGGTAGAGGAAGAGGTAATCTCAGTGGACAACGTGGTGGAATGAACGCTACTCCTCAAAGTTTTAGTCCGAATGCACAGCCTGGACAAAAGAGACCTGTACCAGAAGGTGGTCAGCAGGGAAGCGGAGGAAAACGCCCTAGGGGAGGAGGAAGTAATTAGTTTATTGGCAAAAGTTCAGTTGCATTTGCTTGTATTATATTTCAGGGTTGCATAGCCATAGCTTGGCCTTTTTTATGCTAAGAGTGAGTGAAGGAAATATTCAGGGAGTTACGGAAAACATGTATGAGGAATAGTAGCGTAGCTATCTATACATATGACGATTATTGAGGCAAATGAATATCAAGAGTATTTGGAGAAATCAAAAGGGTATCATTGATATTTAGATAAATTGCTAGGAACAAGTCTTTTAAGTACTTCCACATGTCGACCGATCATTTTCATCTTAAGACCCTCCACACCACTTTTGTCTAATCTACGCAAGCCATTACCATATATCACTGTATGATCTGGAATGACCTCGTCTTCTGCTACTTCGCACATTGGTCCAATCTTGCAATGCTGGACCAAATGTTAGTGTCAAATAAATATCCATCCCTGTGAAATGCGTACCTTTCCAATAACAGCTCCTTTCCCTACTTTTGCATTAATCTCAATGAGACTACCTTGTCCGACAAACTTTGCTTCAACAATAGCCCCAGTTTCTACAACGACACCAGTATCCAACACAACCCCTTGAGCTTGTTCCTCAGTTGGGGCACTCAACATGCCAATCGAACTTCGCTCACCAATAACACATTGTATGCCGATCGCGATGGGAGCATAGGTGCTGTTCAATTTTGTACGTGGATGAAGTACAGTATGCCCTCTGATGGTTATAAGATTTGTGCCAATAATGGAAGCATGGTCGGCGATTATGATATTGTTTGAGAAAGAGATGGGAGGTTTGGGAGGTGGAGGAAGCATGGAAGATCGTTTGGTAGAGGACATGACTGATGATAGGCCGTCTATATGGGAGATTTAAGACGAAGACATTCGATGCTGGGAAACACTGGGAAGTATTGGCCAATTATTCGTTGTATTGGTAAACCCGAACACGAATTCGAGCTTTTGCGACGGCCAAAGCTGTGAGATCTGCTAGAGGTCAGTAGAAGTGTTGTAAGTGTTTGTCCCTGATTGTGTAGCAAGCAAGACGTCAGATATCAGAATGGGCAAGCTTAATCAATGTTTGCCGCTTACTTCTATGATATCTCCGAATATCATCAACCTCAAAGTGTAACCAGACGATGACTAGAGAATAAGAAGTCAAAAAGACAATAATTTGATCTATCAGTTGGTTGATGTATGGTAAACGGGCTAAGACGGGGTAAAAATTTAAAGTTCCAGATTCACACTTATCAACGGAAGTTTTCGGCTATCGCCACCATTTTGAAGCTTGGTCATTTAGACCAATCAAACATTCATGATTTCTATGATGACTTGAACTTATTCGGAAATATTTACAACCTCAACTCCCCCTCTACGACCCTTCACACTGACAACAACTCTCAATTGGTCACAAAATATATATCGAAAATGCTTTCGCGAAATGCGCCTTCTGCAAAGGCAGCCTCTACACTTTCCACTCGAATCCTATCCTCCTCAGCAGCAGCACGATTATCTCCTTCGATCTCTTCAGTACAACAATCTAGAGGACTTGCCACAGTCGCCGATACACCACCTCCACCAAAGAAGACACAATGGGGTGGATTAAGGGATCAAGATAGAATCTTTCAAAACTTGTATGGACATCACGGAGCGGACCTGGCCAGTGCCAAGAAATATGGTGATTGGCATAGAACGAAGGATATTCTTGCAAAGGGACATGACTGGGTATGTTGGAAAGGCTGATACTCTGATGAGGGTTGAGAGTTAACATAGGAATAGATTATTTCCGAAATTAAGGCTTCAGGTTTGAGAGGTCGTGGTGGTGCTGGTTTCCCTTCTGGTATGAAATGGGTATGTTTGATGTTTCACAATACAAATCAACAAGGCTAAAGCTATGATAGTCATTCATGAACTTCAAAGGTTGGGAAAACGACAACAAACCAAGATATCTTGTAGTCAATGCGGATGAGGGAGAACCTGGAACTTGCAAGGACAGAGAGATTATGCGAAAGGACCCACACAAACTTATCGAAGGATGTTTAGTTGCAGGAAGAGCAATGAACTGTACGGCAGCATATATTTATATTCGTGGAGAATTTTACCACGAAGCTACCGTCTTACAGCGCGCGATTCAGGAAGCATACAAGGATGGATTAATCGGAAAGAATGCCTGTGGCAGTGGATATGATTTCGATGTTTACGTTCATCGTGGAATGGGAGCGTACGTTTGTGGTGAGGAAACATCTTTGATTGAGTCACTCGAAGGTAAACCAGGAAAGCCACGTCTCAAGCCCCCTTTCCCTGCTTCCGTCGGTCTTTTCGGATGTCCATCAACAGTGGCAAATGTCGAAACTATCGCTGTCGCACCAACAATTTGTCGAAGAGGTGGAGATTGGTTCGCTTCATTTGGTCGAGAGCGTAATGCTGGTACCAAACTCTTCTGTATCTCTGGTCATGTTAACAACCCATGTACCGTTGAGGAAGAAATGAGTATTCCTCTTAGAGAACTCATTGATAAACATTGTGGTGGTGTCCGTGGAGGATGGGATAACCTTAAAGCTGTTATCCCTGGAGGATCATCTACACCAATCTTACCAAAGAATGTTTGTGATGATCAATTGATGGACTTCGACGCATTGAAAGATAGTCAATCTGGTTTAGGAACGGCAGCAGTTATTGTCATGGATAAGAGTACTGATGTTGTCCGTGCCATCTCAAGATTAAGTCATTTCTATCGACATGAATCTTGTGGTCAATGTACGCCATGCAGAGAAGGTAGCAAGTGGACCGAACAAATCATGCAAAGATTTGAAAAGGGTCAAGGTAAAATACGTGAGATTGATATGTTACAAGAACTTACAAAACAAGTTGAGGGTCACACTATTTGTGGTATGTATATCTTTCTTGAAGATAATGACTTTCGCTAACAAATATCAATAGCTCTCGGAGAGGCTTTCGCATGGCCTATTCAAGGTCTTATTAGACATTTCAGACCAGAATTGGAGGCAAGAATGAAGGATTACGCAGAGAAGAATGGAGGTCCAGCATTGGCTGGTGGTTGGAATAGTAATGCATTGCAACAGGGTAAACTTATTTCACCTGGACAATAGATTTTGAAGCGGAGCATTAAATGGAATGGAAGTGATGGATGGAATGGTAGACTGTTCATAAGAGGGTCGTAAATGTATTTATTGATGTTAAGCATGGGTGCTTTTTTCAATGGCAAGCAAATATTTCTAGTTCATTTGAACCCTGGGATGTGGTGTGATGGTTGTGAGTTCACCAGGTTGAATACTTGACTGTCTACGATGATCATGAATATGAATATGGATTTCAATGTTTTTACGGAAATTGAATAGCTGTTTAACAGTATAACGCTCTAATATTGATACTGGTGTACATACCATAGCATAGCATTACCTAGACTAGGTAATGAAATAAAAGTACCGAAAAGATGATATCTTCAGGAGTTAAGATACCATATTCTAGTCCCAGCTAACCTTAAACGACCTTTTATCTTTTATTTTTGATATGACTTGCATTAGACGCTGCATGTACGCACTGTACGGAAGTAGGTTCACTCGTTACTAGTTACTAGTTACACAAAACTTTCATCATTCACTGATTTTCTGACTAGCATTTTTGTACTGCCTTCAGGGTTTTTATTTATTTATACACATAACATACAGAGCGGAGGGGGATGTAGGTTATATCTAAAACCCTAGGTATTAATCAAATATCTTTTTAAGGTTTCTTTTAAGATTACATGGCAAGGAACAGACTGCAGTATATTGCTGTGCTGCGGTTAATTCAAGCTAGGTAGCTTACATAAGCGTTTCGACTTTACGAGTACTCCTATACCCAATCTCATCCTCGCTGTTGTATTATTTATTAGGTTGCTATTTAAGTATTAGGTACCTAGGTAGGTAAGTACAGTGTACAGGTGAAGTTTGGAAATTTGTGGTTACAGACAGATATAAGGGTGATTTATTCGGGGAAGATTTATAGAAGAGATTTACAAAGCTTATGAGAAAGACATTATGGGGTTCTTTAGGCAGATGGTGGATTTTGTAGGTGATGCTGGTATGTAACCTATGTCTTTGTTTTTTGGTGTTTTTCTGTCTCTTGCTCATGATTAATGAATGGATGAATGGTCTTTATCCCACTTTCCTGTTCGGTTTTAGAGTCGCTTTATATCTTCTTCGTCTACTACACTTCATGTCATATTTTCAACGCTGGCTGGGTGTTATTTTATGGTTCTCTGTTTCTATTTCTCATTAAATTTTACTTATTTTTATTTTTATTTTTGCTTTTATTTGTCTCTTTTTCTTTGGAATTGATAATAGATAAATAACTAACTAACAAATACTCGAAAAGCGGGATTGGAAAAAACTCTTAGGTTGATTCAGGCTTTGTGTCAGATATGTGCTTTTTATCCGGGGATTTTGGGGCGGTTGTTGATAGGGGTAGGGGTGGATGGAAAGGATGTGGATGGAACGCAGGTGAGGGTTTTGGAGGGGTTGTGGAGGGCGAGGAGGGAGCTTGCTGTGGGTATGTTTGGTCTTTTTTCTTCTTTTCTTGGGGATGAGGTGGTGTGTGATGGGAAGGGAGGGAGGGATGAGGGGGCCGTAAGACAGGGGGAAGATAGAAGGGAAAAAGATGAAAGGGTTCGTGGAGGCGGTTCGTGGAGGAGTTTGAGAGACATTGAGCTCAATAAGGATACACGTGCAAGTGCGCAAGATTTTCGTTACATTCCCTCTCAGATGCCATAGCCGTCGCTCAAAGACACGAATCGAGCTTTTAGGAGTCAAGATTACGCTGGATATTTATCCATCATATACTCAGCTTTTACCTCCAAGCCCAAAGTCCATGAGCCAAGAAAACAAGAGAAAAATAAATAAGCTGACAAAACAACCTCACAGGACGTCGCTATCTGCGCTTTTTCCGCTTCATAGGACATCTTTCAAAAGCCTGGGATAGTCTTTTAAATGAAAACGGAATAAAGATGTTAATTAACGTGGGAAAGTCGGGGTTCATGGGTGCTTACTTAGGGTGTGAGTTTCTTTTCCTAATTGCTCTCCGTCCACGTGTAACACCCTTCTATCTCCTTTTCCATTCTTTGACATGCAGAATATGGCTAACTATGAAATTGTTCTAACAGTGGAGAGTCTCACGATAGTAAGTGCCACCATCCCAGGAGAATAGAAAAGAAAGGTGGAAAGCAGGAATAGAAAATTTACTGATTTGTGGCATGAATAGTTGGACGTGATGGACGTGTGTAACACCCCCTGGTTCCGAACCTGTGTACTCGAAGGCCAAAAATTCTGGTTCTATTCACTTTGCATATCGATATTTGGAGGATTATATGATCTTTGTCTTATGCATTTGAATATCAACACAAGCCCACCTTCCGACTCGCCGTCACATGAAAATCCCACACCATCATCAACATCGAAATTAGACGAAGATGCACAAGTCGTTCGAAAACAAGAAGAAGACAGAAAAAGAAACGAAGGAAATCAAAACAGAAAGAAGGGAAATAAGATCATACTCAAGATTATTGAAAATATAGCGGATCTATTTGTTCCCGGGATGGTAACAGGATGGATTGTTAGTGATTTAGGGGTTGTGGGGTGTGCGTTGATTGTTAGTACCGTGTTGAGTTCTTGGGAGATTTGGGGGAGGGTTGGGGATTGGGAGGTGGAGGGGAATGGAAGTGGGAGTGTGAAGAGATAGTAAAGTCAGGAGGGAGTACAGCCAGTAATGGGGATGAAGGATAAAGAATGGCGAGGTAGGAAGCAAGTCAGGGGTTTGGATTGGACTTTATTGAGTTTGTAAATTAATGGATGGGTGAATGGATAGCTTTCTGATAGATTAAAAAATTTAGAGCAATTAAGAAGCGAAGGTTGATTTGATCATAATTGAGGACTTGAGATGAATATGGCTCGTTCTTTCTGTGAATTTAAACTTCCGGGCTATGAAATCAGAAATGAATATGCTGATTTATTCTAGACGTTTGAAGATGCACTAACAATCGATGGGGGATTAGCGGGTAGCGAGTCTTACATAAACATTTTCTGAATTCCTAATAGGGTTAACCTTGGTAACCTTACCTTACTCCATACACTTCCAACTAAATGTCATCGTTCTGAATAACTTCAAACATATGGATGACGTTCATTCCATTTGCAATGTTTAGTACAGGTATTAAATCGATCGTCGATTCCCTCACTATCTTCTCCACTTTGTGGTTTCACGGCATCAACAACCCCGCACAGATTCTTCGTGTTACAAGTTACAACATACACAATGCCAATGGGCAGATATATTTGCAGCCATAACATTACATACAATCATGAAAGAGAAATCTTTACCCCTCCTAATTTCTATTTCTTGAATGGGTTGCTCAGCTTTCTCTTTAGCCAGCCACTCTTCTCATAGACAAAGCTTTGGATGATGACCCCTCATTTTCACAATGAGCTTCCCCGCTCAGTCTTTGCAGACTTGAGAAATCTCAACCAGAAATGGATAACTTTTTGTAGCAGAATACTTGGAGATCAACATCAGCTTCAACTACTAGGCTCAAATATGAGCAAAACCCCGGAAAGAGATCTCCGTAGTTCATATCAGATTTCGCATACATATGTGAATGCGTAATGGCTGCTGCATCATTTTACATTCCAATTCGTGGAGTTTAAAATCTTCCTTAAGTCAACTTCAAAGATCTTTCTATAAACTCCTTCATTCATCCTCCACTTTTTCCATACCTGCCAGCCCTTCCTACTTCAATTACTTCAATCACTTAAATCATAAATCATGGCAACCTATCCTACAGATGATCAAGACTTCAAAAATGCTTCGGCAGGACTCGTGAGTCGGATGGAAAATTGTATCATTCATTCCGATACTGATGAATCTGTCGTGGTCTGGGACAATCAAACCTACGAATCATTCATCAATGATGATGCAACTTGTCCTAAAGAAGTTGATCCATCCCTATTCAGACAATCTCAACTTTGTGTTAAGCAGGGACTTTTTGAAATTGTCAAGGACAAGATATATCAAGTTCGTGGCCTCGATGTTTCCAACATGACCTTCGTTGAGACGATCGATTCAAATGGTGTTGTGGTTATTGATCCATTGACTTCCATTGAGACTGCCAAAAAAGCTATTGAATTATATCAAGGGTATCGTAAAGACAAGAAGATTTTGGCGATGATTTATACACATTCTCATGCTGATCATTTTGGTGGTGGGAATGCGGTTGTTGGTATGCCGTTCGCTCCCTTACATCCCTATGCTTTATTGTTCTGTCGTTCCATTGTCTTTCATTAAATCTTGAAAGTTTTCATATGACATTGGCCGTTGATTGTACTATCAAGCAACTATTACCTACCAATGTTCCATATTCAATATGAATATGTCGACAAGGATGAGATGGAATCATGGAAGCATTGATTGGGAAAGTTTCCCCAGCTGATGTTATGACCTGTACTGAAATCGGAAGCGATTTTTCGGATTCTGAACCTCATTACTTTTTTTTTTAAAGATCTTTTCCAAGTTAAAAGATGTTGTTTGTTGGTATTGGACTTACCTTGAATTATAACTATACTAACTTTTCATAATTATAGAGGCTTCCGGTGGCACCCAAGAACACCCATACGATGGTACTCTACAGGACATATACGCACCGGCTGATTTCCTTGACCATGCTGTGAGTGAAAATGTTTTTGTTGGTGTAGCAATGGGTCGTCGAGCTGTATACATGTACGGCGAATCGCTCGAAAAATCTCCTACAGGACAAGTTGGAACTGGCTTAGGCATGGCTACATCAACTGGTGCTAGCTCATTGATTCCTCCAACAATAAGCATTAGTAAGACGGGAGATACAAGGAAGATTGATGGTTTGGATATCATTTTTCAGGTGACTCCTGGAACTGAAGCACCTTCGGAAATGAACTTCCACTTTCCTCAATATAACGCTCTGTGTATGGCGGAGAATGCAACTCATACTTTACATAACCTTCAAACACTAAGAGGTGCATTGGTTCGTGATGCTCGAGTCTGGTCTCGGTATTGTGAGTACAAGTTTTTCTGTCATCCACACCTCTCTTTTCATATCATTCAAGCGTGTTAAATTCATGACACGGATTCCCCTTCCCTGTCATTTGAACACCTTTTTAATAAATGATTGTATCCAGTGGACGAAGCAATCGTTCTTTTTGCCGACAAAAGCGACGTTCTATTCGCTAGTCATCACTGGCCAACTTTCAAAACTGATGGAGGCAAAGAAATCATCGAGTTTTTGTCCGGACAACGAGATCTCTACGCCTATCTCCACAATGAAACTCTTCGTCAAATTAACAATGGTCAAGTAGGCATAGAAATAGCAGAAACATTTCAAATGCCTTCTTCTCTAGAATCAATCTGGAATGCAAAAGGTTATTATGGTTCCGTCAGTCATAACGTCAAAGCCATTTATGATCGCTACATGGGCTGGTTCGATGGTAATCCAGTCCATTTATGGGAACATCCACCCGTTGCTATCGCAAAACGCTATGTGTTTTGCATGGGAGGCATAGAGAATGTAATTAAACTAGCCCGAGAAAATTACATCAACGTCTCCTCACCCGATTACCGATTTGCCGCAACCCTCTTATCCCACGCCGTCTTCAGCGATCAAACCAATGTCGAAGCTAAAACCGAACTCGCAAATGTCTTTACAAAACTGGGATACGGGTCGGAAAATGCCACATGGCGTAATTTCTATCTGTGTGGTGCAAAAGAATTACTAGGTCCCATTCAACCAGCTCTGAATGCTATGGACACTGCTACCTGGATGGCTCTCTCCATCGAACAATTATTAGACTCGATGGCGATCCGCATCAACGGACCTCTCGCAATAGCCAATAATACCAAATCCTTCCAAATTGAAGTCATGCTCTCTGATGTACCAATGAGCGATGCAAGTGCCGATATATCAGGCTGGCATATCAATTTCAGTAATGCAGTTATGACGGATCATGAGATTAAGTATTCTGACACGGTGGTGAATACGGATGTGGATTTGACGATGTGGGTTACGCATCAACAGTTTGTGGATTTGGCGATTGGGAAGAGGATGGATTTTGAGGGGTTGAAGACGGAGGGGGATGAGGGGGTTTGGGGGGTGTTGTTTGGGTTGTTGGATATGGGGAATCCGGGGTTTGCGATTGTGACGCCGGAGGCGTAGATGATGTGGTGGAGGTGGAACAGAATAAGTGATGATTTTTGGCTGGGGTTGATGAAGGGTAGTGGGTGATAGGCGGGTTAGCGAATGGGTTTGATTTAATACTCTTCTTTCCTGTCCTTCCTTTTCTTCTTTCACTCCGTTTACTCTGCTTTCCTAGGTAGTTTATCTCTAGTTCTACTTTCTACTTTCTACTTTCTTTCCCTCTTTCTCCTTTCTCTCCTTTCCCTTTCCCTCCTTCTATCCCATCCACCCACCCACTCATCAATTTCTTTCCACTTTTCCATTCCAGCCCCCCCCCCCCCCCAAAAAAGTCATATATATAAAAAAATACCAACTCTTCATCTCCATCTCCATCTCTATCTCACCACAAACATCTCCGTCTCTGTAATCTTACCCTAACCTTCCAATCAGTTTTTGATCTATTATCTTCCTCCTCTTCTCCTACAAACTAAAAAAACCATACCATCCCCATCCCACATTCTCACTCTCCACCCATCCATCCATCAACACGCAAATCCTACCCTACTCTACTCTATTATTCTATTCTGCCTCCACGGCAGTGGCCCCCGGAGGGCCAGCGGAGCGTCATTTCATTTATGTATGTATCTACGGAGCAAGATTACTTTTCCTTCGCAATTTCCAAGGATGCAGATTTGGGTTGATTATGAATTTATAGGTGGGGGTTTTGATGGGAGGTAGTGGGTTGAGAAGGGAGAGGAAGAGGAAGAGGAAGAGGAAGAGGAAGAGGAAGAGGAAGAGGAAGAGGAAGAGGAAGAGGAAGAGGAAGAAGAAGAGGAAGAAGAAGTAAAAGGGGGATGGAGATATAAGGACAATGCGTATGTGTGTAGTATATTTTATCTATAGTATGTGATCTAAAATAGAAACCCATCAATCATCCGTCTGTCCAGTCATGCACCCATTCGTCCATCCATCATTCATAGTAAAAAAAAATCGACGCCATTTCTGCATTTATCTAGGTATTCATTTCCTTTTAACTCGCTTGTAATCAATTAGTCATTCATCCATCCATCCGTGATCAAGATGCAGAGTCATTGCTTTTCTTGCCCTCAATCATCCTCTCGTTCTCCAATCTATCCACCACTCCATCTAAAGAATTGTACCGAAACTATTATATCATGATTAGCAAATATCCAACCACAAGAACCCAACAGGGTAATCAAAACTTACCCAAAAGTCTGTTTAATACTCCTAACATAATATTCACTCCAATTTCTCTTAGTAACCTCTTCCTGACCAACTGGAACACCAGACCAAGAAACTCTCATAACCGTAACATTATCAACATCATTTTGATCAAAGTTAATTTCCAATCTTGAAAAATGTCCTGTTGGCCATTGATCAAGTCTCCAACTTTGTACGATTTTTGTTGGTTCAACCAATTCAAGGTATTCACCAGAAACATTTCCTCCGAAAAGTTCAAATTTCCCTCCTTTCTTTGCACCTTCAAATAATTTTGGTGCGGCGCGTGTAAATGCAGAAATTCGAGCTGGATCGGTAAATGTTTGATAAAGTTCTGAAGCTGGAGCTCTGAATTCTTCATTATCGGTGACGGTAACGGTATTAACTAAAGTGGAACCTTTGTTGGTGGTTGTACTTGTAGATTGAATTGGAGCATTATGAGGATATGTCTTTGCAGCTGTAATCTTGGATGATGGATTTGCATCTGGTGCATGTTGAATGTCTTTTCCATGTTCTGAAATGAGAGCAGGACCTAATTGAGCGAATTGTTTGCGAAGTTGAGGAACGATTTTTGCACGGACAAGATCCTTAACGGGTGCTTTGGAGTTGGCATCGGAATAAATATCAATGTCGAACTAAAAATCACATTAGATTATCTATTAATTCATTCATGGGATGAACAAAACATACAACATATTCATTTTCTTCGGTATCATGAGCAACTTCAGGAACCGTGATGGTCCCACTAACGGATTCATCATCTTTGGTTTTGCCTAGTCCAATTAGACATAAATTCATAATATTGACTATAACTACAGGGCATACCTGAATACTCAATAACGAGCTTGACATCAAATATGGTAATAACCTTTCCCTTTCGTTGATTAACATCAACATCTCCATCCATACTGATCAATTTATCCAATTGAGCAGTAACACCATCCTCCTCAGCCTTGATTTCCTTTATATTATCCTCCACCCATTGTTTTGCCCATGTTGAAGCATCTTTGTTAACCCAATGCCAATTGTTTGGATTGTGAAGAACCATATTGATTGAAGTTTTGAGAGATTGAAAATCTGACAAATTGAATGTTAGTAACATGCATAGAAATGAATGTGATGGAATTTCAAAATGTAAAAAGTTTTAATTGTTCAGAAGGAGGCTCGAAAGCCATAGCATTGTCTTCAAAGATATGAGTACAAATCGACTCAGACTGGTGCCAGCTTGTGTCTCATCATAAAAAGGAGAGTAGAAGGAATTTGGGTGAGATTTTCATTGAGATTTTGCACGTACCTTTATGTTGTAGTAGAAGAATGAATTGAATTTAGATGATTATTAAGAAGAGTTAACACAATTAATTGAAGTTACAAAGATTGATGTTGATGTGTTTTTGTATTGTTGTATTGAAGAAAGAAAGAAAAGAATTTAAGAAGTGGTAGAAGAGAAGATGGATGTGATGCGAAGAAAGGTAAAAGTAGAAAGTAAAAGGTAAGAAGTTAATTTGAAGAAATCAAAAGAATGAATTGGAACTTTCTGAAGAGAATTGACCTTTAAGGATAGTGGGGCTGAGTTCAAATATGGTGTAGTGTGAAAATAATTGATGCCTTAATTTGGAGGGTGAATTATAAGACATCTTTCTTTGATGTTGGATCTGGTGGATGTCAATTGAGGTTGATTTTGACTAATCTAAGATAACAGCTGAGAATATTTGAAGCTTTGGGATGATATTTACCTAGCAGGTAGGTGTGTGTGGTAGACTTGATGGGATCAAAATACTGTAGTTTCCCGTATTTAGCGTTAAACTTTTTATTTAAATCATTCTTCGCTGAACACTCATGATCCCCCAATAATCAAAGACCATGCACCAGGAAAAGAAGTCAGTTGAACACAGAGACTAATTTCATAACCGTACTGATTTATTAGATTTCAATGGGCCCTTACCACCCAGTAACATCCCCTAATGTAAAGCTACAAAGTTATATGAACTTGCCACCAGAACCAAGCCTTCCATTCTAACCGGAGCGATCTTATTAGCGTGAGTTTCCTTCCATCGGATAGTTGGCGGCTTCTACCAAGCCGGCGCTTTACATATTAGTTTCCTTTAAAACTCGGATGAATGTTTCTAGCTTGAAAAGAATACAAGCGTCGTAAGCTTCAAACACAAGTGGTATGGAATTTACAAGTGTCGACTTCGCTATAACCCTGTACCTCATAACCCTCTACCTCATAACCCTCTACCTCATAACCCTCTACCTCATAACCCTCTACCTCATAACCCTCTACCTCAATCAATGGACAATCACAGCTCTTATATCTATCTCAGTCTTACTATTTATTTCACGTCCATACGTATATGTGCACGTAAGTTTTCATACCAAGTCAACAATCATATCAATTAATCAGACTCCCCTTTTCCGCAAGCGATAAAGCTTTTCCGACAGGGTAAACACCAAACTTCACGAAGAGTTTCGCATTCCGGATTGAGATTGTGGCTCCGGAGTGATACTGTGGCTGCGAACGTCATTTTCATTTCATCCCTGTCAATTCCAGCCACTCATTCCAGTAGGAGTGAAGAGAGGGAGATCTATTTGAAATTTTCATCAATGCACGATAAGTACCTACCCTACCCTACCCTACTCCGTCGATATGGATTTCCAAATCTGATCATCGAGATTTAACTTTTATAGATCTGCAGCAGCTTGGATCGAGCTTTTCAGTATCTAGGTACAGATAGAGTATGTGAATAAGTTAGTAGAGTTTTGATGCCAAAGCACTAAAATCCTCAAGCTTCCTGCCCTACTATATACATAAAGCTGACACTTTATTTAACTTTTGAACTCCTATTCTTATATCAATTCTGGTAGCATCGGTGTTAGGAAGACTACTCTAGATTGAAGATATGTTGATACCTATATATAGATAACATCACCTATCAATCTACACTACATTGTACCACCAACTGACTGATATTCCGTTTGCATATCTTGGTCCTCTTCTGAAGATACACATATTATTGTTCTAATTTCAGTCTTCCAAGACTCCAAGGATAGTAAGGAACTGATGGTTACCACTAAGAAACTAAGAAACTAAGAATGTGAGAATGTGACCCCGTTGGCTTGGGCATTTCAAATGCACTTACTTCCACCATTCATCTCCCTATGACGTAGTTGAACGGACCCCGAAACCCCAAAAAAGATTATCGTCCTTTTCTACCAAGAACATCCATCAAGCCTACGGAGTATATGATGATGATGATGGCTTCATCATCATTCAAGCTTTCTACTTTTTCCTCTTTTCTCTTTTTCCTTTTATATCACACACAAAGTATCCAATTACTATAATTTTGTTACCTTTATTTTTCAAGGTCTATTTATTCTCACTACTAATCCATCAATCTAATCCTTTGTTATTCATTCTTCATCGATACCTTTCAAGAAAAAGATTAATCAATTAATCCACACTCGAAATAGAACACTCAAATACAACTCACTACCATCTATTTCTTAATTCCTCGGATTCCGTAAACATCTTCAATACAATCCTTCAAAATGACCGTAATCTGGGGTTTAGATCTCAAGGAGATGCAATGGGGCAAATTCAAAGGAGCTTACATGTTTAATCAAATCTATCATCTACGAAAAACAAAGATGATAGTCTATCAAATCGCCATGATCTTCTGCGTTTGTTCCGAATCTGTAGGAACAGCTGCTTTAAGTGGTATGTAAGAACCTTTTAATCAAAACTTACCTACCTACTATCATTGTATCAAAAGTACAGTACTAATTCCTTATTCTATCTACCCAGATTACGTGGATCAGCGAGATGGCATAAAATCACGATATGGTTATCATACATCCGTTAGAGATATCGTTGGAATATTTTCATTCAATATATTTGTCGGTATAGCAGTTGCGACCATCTTTGGATCTGGATTCTTTTTCGATCTTTTCTGGCCTCAACGGCATGAAACTCCTGCGGTAAAGATGGCTTGGAAGATTTGTTCGGTTTTGATGTGTGTTTTTACTTTGGCAGATGCTATTGCTCTTACAGTACGTGTATCATATTATCGTTTATCTACAGAAATCTACCTGCTGATTCTTCATACAGGTCATTGTAGCTACACAAAGAGCAATGATTGATGGATTGACAAATTCAGAAGCACAAAGATATTTTGATTTGAATGGTCCTCCAAATCCTATTTATCGTAAAAATGCTTATTGTATTGCTTCCACTGTACTTTTATGGCTCGGTATGCTAGGTACATTTGCTAGGTTAGTTCTCCCAGTCTATCTCTCATGAATTCACTAACTAACTAATACATAGTACATATATCATGTGGAAATCACTCGCTCATGATAAGAAATTCGCCACACCTTTCGCAGCTGGTAAAGGACCTGCCGATGATCCATGGGATAAATCCAATCGACCAGGAACTGAATTAGAAAAAGCACCTACATCTATTGAACCAGCGGTTCAAACTCATAATAATGATCTAGAACAAGGTAGAGGTATTGTTCATGATGGACCTGTAGCGCCAGAAACAAACCCAGTTGTCAATTAATCAAAGCTTCGCATTGTCGTTACAAGAGTTCTTTTCAAGCTCAGATGTAGCTGCTTGATCATTGTTAGCCGATGAAACTATTCGAAATGTCAAGTGTGCGAGGGAAGGGAAGTGCGAGAAATCGTCGACGAGACCAAATTCTTCAAACATATGGGTAGTCGTCCTGGGAGAAAGTAGTTCCTTGCGAAGTTCAAAATTACAACAGATATTTCGAGCGAAATTCCGATTCAACTTCCAAAAATAAGCAAGAACAAAGCAATATCGATGGTATCAGTGGATGGGTAGATAAGCAAGATGAGCGAGGGTAGAAATTAAAAGACAATGAGATGGGATGGGGTATTGGGTATATGGTTGCGGTTACTTTTGTAAGGAATTTTGGAACGAAAGGGAACAGTATACAGAAGGAAGAGGAAAGGAAGAGGAAAGGGAAACATAGATACCAGGAATAAATGGAAATGGAAATGGAATTGGATATGGGACGAAATGGCGTTGTGGTTATGAGGGTATGAGCGGTTTGAGAGGTGTAGATACCTTACTCAGTTTACTTAAATTTAATTAACCCAACTACCCAGTAGACATAGGGTAATCAAGTTAATAATAAAAAGAAGTATTTATTTACTATATGTATAGTCCATCCTACTCTGTTACTCGAGTATACCCTCCACTAATTACTCTATTAATTATAATCTTACCTCTCCACTGCATTTATTCCCTTATCTATATTTTCATATACTTCCTCACACTCTAATAACAGCATATGTTAAAGTGAATGGTTCCTGCGTAGCACGTGCACAGGGCACTAGTCCTATTAGGACTAGATTGAGAAGCTCTCTGTAGGAGAGCTTCGCACTTCCGTAGAACTTAGATAATGGGTGATTTATATACAAGACCAATATAGCCTCAGTTCTGCCCTATCAGCTTCCCACTATTCCCTGTGTAAGGTCATTCCTTTTAATAGCATACTCTAATTTCATTTTATAAGTACCACCAAATATACACTGATAGTAAACCTTATTCTTATCCTTATCATCTGTTTTTACCTTATCTTTTACCTCTTATTGTAACGATACTATACTGGAGGCAGCGGCTGCCTAAGGTTTCGTCGAGTTGGTAGTTGTGGGTTAAGGCTTTATCATTGGTATTCATTTGGAAGTGAATTCGTTACTAGATCAAGTAGAATATAGGTAAACTAATTGATAACTAAGTTGAGCACGAAGCTCTTAAACTACGAAACTATTCTAACTATATACTAAACGTTTCCCTGAATACTAGCTCTGCTAGCTGGCTAGCAGAGCTATCACGTTACGTGATCTCCTATTAGCCTCAGGACACTAATCCTGGGACGATTCTCATCCTAGGATAATATAGCTCCTAGGATAATTGTCCTGGGACAAATATTATCCTAGGACACTTTATCCTGGGACGCCTAACGCCCTAGGACACTTGTCCTAAGCCTCCATGATTGCCTAATCGTTTTGTCCTAGGATTCCTTATCGATAAGGGAACCGCGGTAAACAACAGCCTAAACCCCCGTACTTGTTTTTATTGTATAATGTTAGTCGTGGTTCGTGACACTTATCTCCTTCACTTTTTATATCTCACCATCTCACATCCTCATCTCATGATCCACCTCATCTGTCACACTCAAGAATACTGGGTAAAGTATCTTGTATTAGAAAATACTAAGCTAAGGAGAAAAGAAGAAGGAAAACAAGAGTAGAGAGTTTTCCTATGATTAAATACAAACGGGGCATGCCACGTGACCCGGAGGTGTGAGGCGTCACATCATCCTAAAACCACAACTTTACTGATAAAACTTATAAAACTTATAAACTTATAAAATTGTTCCGTCTTATAAAACTTATAAAATTGTATAATAACCTTATAATATCCACTTCCCCCATTTCCCCCATTTCCCTCACTTCCCTGCTCCCTCCCCATTTCTCCACCCACTCCCATCTACACCCCTTTAACTAGCCAAATATAATAGAGTTGAGCTAAGCCAATGCAATGCAATGTAATGTAATGCTAACACTAAAGTTGATAATGTAATATAATATTATTAATGTGAAGACACACACGCACCGGGAAACGTGGCATTGCGCCAGCTTGTGTTTAGTCACAAAGAAAATACCCAGAGCCTGATATCCTTCTGACTTATCTGCTAATCAATGTATTTTCCAAGACAGAGACTTTTTCCTCGTAGTTCTTTAGTGTGGAAAAGTGAAGGCAACCAAAGTGT